TGTCGGATGCTTCCATAACATGCATGTCACCATGCCTTTCTCAGTTGGTGACTAGTAGTTTGCAAAGTCTGGGTGAGCATGGAGTGGTTTCACCAGATATGAGTGAGATGCTGTGTAAAAAGAGTCGTATGGTGTTTGAGGTTTGTCTTTGTAACTGGCTCCAGCAATCAAATACACCTCCTCCCAAGCTGTTGTTTCCTACTATTCCATCCACTTAGCTTGAATTTTGGTTTTTGCTATGAAAGACCTTATAGATATGAGATGTGATTGCCTAGAGAAGGCAGGCAGATAATCTCAGTTGTATAGTTATATTTTTCAGTGTTAGCTTTCTGGGTTTGCCCTTTAAAGATATGACAGTTGTATATAAGTGGAAGTAATTTAGCCCTGGAGGGATGAAATTCTTTTTTAAGCTCTTCATGTAATCTTAGTTTGTTATTGCAAAAAGATCTCTAACCAGGAGCAATTGGGTCCAATCTGATGCGGAATTAAAAATAACTAGAAATCCTGGGGCAGTCCTCTGCAGTACCAGAGTGGTTGCCAGATGCAGTTGGCATCAGATGTGCGTCTAACTCAAATGCATTTGCCTGTATTTCACCCACAGGTATTGCAGACAGGAAGGCAGGTGGAGGGGTGTCCGGCTGACTGTTCTGCAAGTGGAGGCTCACAATTGGTGCAGAGGGTTCAGTGAAGTGGCACCCTACAACACTGGCAGCTGTACAAATACAGGGTAGAAGACAGTTCCTGCCTAGAAGAGGTAAAAGGCTGCAACTGGCAACAGAGAAGTGCAATGATTGCCTCTGGTTGTTCAGCAGCTCAGAAAACTCTTGGAATTGATTTGGCTCTGCAGACACTTTGAAAACAAATTTAATCCCTTTTCCAGTAAATTCTTCTGGTTTAGTGCTAGCATGAAATGTCCTGACCACCATTTTACATGCAGCACAAGGTCACTACAGACTGTACTGGATTATGGGCACACTTCAATGGCAGCATCAGGATTTCAAAATGACGCAAGAGTATTTTTGTGATGAGGAAGTGGTGAGACCTTCAGTTACCCAGAACTAGATCATCAGAAGATAAGGCAGTGTAGGGCTGGGAATATCAACCTGCCAGTCTTATCCCAGTATGGACTGGGTCATGTGAGCAGGCAGGAATTTTTCTAAGGTCAGATGCTATGGGCCATGTCTTCATCATATTTACATATCTGATTTTTAGGCAACTATGCCCCTTGGACATATAATGAGGTTGGACTAGATAGCAAGGCAGCCTTAAAGAGCTGGACTAGAGTTATGGGATCAGTTACCTTTAGGGAGCAACACCTAGTCTCTTACTGATCTTCACAGTTGGGAAGAGCAGCATTTCCTCTAATGGTGAGGTTAGAGCCCATGTTTAAGAGTTGGGGAAAAAAGGAAGGTGAATGCTTTTTCTGATTCCTTTGGGTAGGATTACTTTTGGAGAAAACATGATTCAGTCTAGCTTTGTTTTGTGGGCTGTTCAAGAACATCTTAGTCTATCTAATGATGTGGGGCAATAGCTTGTTCTTTGTCAGACAAGGAATATTTCCAGCCAGATAGCCTGAGCTACCTTTAAATTATTTGATCTAGCAGTTTGACAGCACTGAAGAGTTTAACATGGGCTAAAAGTTGACTGAAGTGTACATATACCTTCAGTGATCAACAAGACCCTTGCAACAGGACACCTGTGAACATTGTTATAGTCTTTGTCTTCTTAACCTAGTGGACTGCCTCCCCTCTACAGGAGGGAGGCTAATTCTTTATATCTGGGGATGTGACAGGGCAGACCATGTGGACAATGCTTACAAAATAGAAAAGAGGAAAGACAGTCTCTTTGCAGAGATTGTTCAAAGGTCAAAGAACACACATTGTGCATCATTAGGGCTTTCAAGTTGCTTGTATGTTTTCAAGTAAAATGAGTCTAGGGAAACTACAGCAGATGAAGAGTTTAGGGAACTAGCCAGAGACAGTTATGCAAGAGTCTAAGACTTCAAACAGATTTTTACACACACACTTGCTGATCCTAATTTCTAGTACCTGTTCCTTTATGATGATTCCTATTTTTTTTAAGAGTTCATCCCAGATCTAGCGCAAATCTGAGCTAACCAGACAGAAATGAATGGAACACTGCCCTGCTTAACTCTGTTTTTCTTCTATCCTGTCAGGTGTAAACGAGTGACTGGCTTCAGAAGCACAAACACATTGAAAAAGGAGCGATGATGCATTCAGTGCTTGCAGCTATGAAGCCCTGGGGCCTTCTCAGTTCGTAGATCAAGCAGCCATCAAACCACATCACACCACAAATTTATACCCCTCTCCTCCTTCCCAGCTCTCTGCCCTTCATAAAATCCACCAATACTCCTACTTCAAATTCCCCAGAGACACACTATTACCAGACATAGACAGACAGACAGACATCAGTCAGTGAGGTATAGCTCATAAGTAACTCACTAAAGTGTCTGCTGGGATGAGGGAGGGAACTGCTGTGGGTGTATTGTTCCAGTCCCATCATTTCCCAAAACACTGAATGAAATAATAACTTGTTTATAGTAATGCATGACATCATGGCAATGCTACAGAGCTGCACTTGAGAAACAGTTTTGAACCCTGTGACCTTCCTTCAAGTGAGAAAGTCTTTAGGGAGGCCACAGGATACAGAAAGTCCTAGCCTTCCTCTGGTTCTCTAGAAGACTTTTTTATTCTAGAATTAAAAAAATGGCAAGGACCACATGTACTTGCACACTTGAACCACCTGTTTTCTTTTCCCTTAGAGTCGATCACTGGCTTAAAGCTAAAGATACCCACTTGCCAAGGAGTGACGGGAGTGATACACCAATTCATTCCACAGCAGATTTTTGACATAAAGTGAACCATGTCCAAGCACTTGATCCATTCTTCTCCAATAAGCTACAAGAGGAAAAAATTTCATCCCCTATCTGTGTCACACCATGTTCACATTACATAATTATCCACTCCCTTTGCCTTTACCTACCTGCTTAAAAGTACCTGGCCTTACAGGTTCACTACTTTGATTTTGATACACTCTTTCTTTGCCATAATACCACAGCTAAATCCCTTTGTGCTACACAGCAAACAATTGCACCTTCCTTTGAAGGTACACTATGTACACTGCCTAGTGTACTTTTATTATTTCTAGGCAATAGAGAGCATCTGCCAACCAGTTAGCCTCTTGTATTTTCCTATTTTACAGTGCAGTAAAAGTGAAAGCAATCCAAAGTTTAGAAGGGGGAAAAACAAAAGCCAAAACAAATGAGAACTGATCCTGCTTTCCTGAGAGATCTACTTTAGAGATGTAATCTAATGCACCTTCTATCTTTTTCTTTCCCCTAGGCAGCTTCTTTCACAGAAAGGAATAGTATCTTCAGCATCAGTACGGGTGTCTTATGTCTGGGGGACTAATCACTCCCAGGACTGAGCCCTGATGATGACTTAAGCTGCTCTGAATACAAAACTCCATGCATGGAAGGCAAAAGCCTTGTTTTGTTGCCCCAAAAAGGGAAGAAGGTTTCAAGGCTTGCTAAAAACAACCTTCAATCAGCTGTACACATCTAGACACTGTTGTCTTTAGTGTTCCAGATGGTCCCAGCTGTTGGCATACGCAATGACAATGACATTCATTTCTTTTGCATATACATCCCATGCGAGTCCAATTTTTCAGCTGCCTGCTGATGGGAAGTGAAATTCACCCAGAGAAAAGCTGTGCTTGAGGCCTACAGGATCCCAAAGCTCGTGGAAAAAGCCTCAGTGGGGAGGATTAGTCGTAGGATCACTTCTGGCTACTATCTAATTTTATCTGTGTGTCACTGATACCAAACGTCATTCTTTTCATTATGAGAACCCCTCGACAAACAGGACTAAAAATAAAAAGCAAGAGCTTGGAGTTGGCACAAACTGTGCTACATGGACTCCAATTTGTATAGCAGGAACTATAATCACTCTGAGACGTGCCCAAGCCCTTGGGCATCCCACGGGATTTCAGTCACTTGTTTACAAGGTGTTCTGATTTGCAGCTGTTTGACTACTGTGGCATTTCAAGAGGGGGCGGTTTGAGAGGATGTTGTTACTTTGGACGTTGGGATTGGGAAATGGGTATTGAAAAATCACACAAGAAACAGGCGAGTGCTGTCTTTGTTCTTCCTCCCTTTCATATGAATGACGTCAGTGCCAGGGAAAGGAGCTTCAGGAACAGATCCAGAGACCGATGCTCTGGAAGGAACACACAGGGTACAGGTAAATCCCCCAAAACAGAGTTGTGTCCTAACCTACCACACAGAGTGCCCCGCATCTGATCTGGGGGGACTAAGCTCTGGAGGTAAGAAGGGAACCATCCAAGCCCATTGCTTTTCCACCTTTTCTAACAAGGTTACCAAAAAATAAATTGATATTGTGCCATGGACACCCCTAAGAACTAGGATAAAGGCCATCACCAGCTCACTTCAAACAGGCCAGCAGCAGCTGAAATGGATTTGGTCACTGGCTTAAAGTGATTTATCAATTCAGTTGGCTCTTTCCATCATTCCCGCTCTCCTGACCTGAACAGTTCCTCTTTCAGAGCTGCATTAAGCTAATACCCACTTTCTTATGGGCCCTCTTGGGATAATGGATTCAGATATGCAGAAGGAATGTAAAAATCTGTCTGTTATCTGGGATGAGTGATTTGCACAATAGTGCCCATGAGTGTTTGTTTAACACTGTGGACAGCAGAACTCTGCTAAGTGGTAACACGCTGAGAAAGGGAAAGCAAGAACGGAGGAGAAAGTAGCCTGGCTGATTAAAAACTATGGTCCACCAAGCTGTGTGCGTTTTTTGGCTTAGTTAGCTGTTCACTTGTTTTTTGTGGGAAACCAAGAAGGACACGTGGAGCTTTTCCCAGGCTTTAGTGTTATTCTCTTGTTTCCAGCATTGGCTTTTGTATGCATTAATTGACAGTAACTCATGTAGAAGATCTAGTGCCAAGAGGATATTTACCTTGCAAACATTTAATCTGCTGCCCCTCTCTCCTCTTCTGTTACTTTTTCAAGCGATGACTGACTGGAGGCGCCATGTGCACTTGAAGAAGCATCACTCCTGCCAACCTTAGACACGAGCCCTCTGCCTGCCCAGTGTGTGCCAGAAACCTGACTGCACTTTCTTGGCAGGGAGCAGCCTTCCCCTCACTTCCTGGAGGTGAAAGAGGGCTCAGCCTAGAATGCAGAGCGTAAAAATGTAAAGAATCTGTTAGATTATACTATGACAAATTGGTGTTTTTCTAGCGAGATTAAAACCCACCCTATGTTTGATTCTGAGTGACATTGATCAGTTTGGCACCAACAACTTCTCTGCTGGTGTCATGAGTGACTTCTCTTTAAGCAAGCACCCAGAGAAGCATTCCTTGCTTTCTCTAGGCAAAGTTGAAGGAAAAATCTGCATTTGCATTGCACATGCCATCAAAGATCTCAAAGTACACGACTTATCCTAGCCCACATGGCAAATCTGTATCAGAGTTGGGTCAGAAATTCTGACTCTCCCTCCTTTGCTCCAGCCAGGCTGACTTTTCCTCAAGGTCAGCTATGACTGCTGCCATCAGAAGCATGCTATCCTGTCACCACCTTGTCACACATACCAGTTTCAGACTCCCTGGTTTTTACCCATAGCTATGGAAAATTGTCTGCAGAAGAGGCTGCTTAGAAAGGAAGTGGAAGATTGCTGAAGTCTATTCTAATCCACAGTCTATATTTATGCAGCCCTTGTCACAGCAGAGCAGAGAAAATGTCACTGGAACAGTTTTCTTTTTGCCAACAGGCAAGAGGTTTAAAACGAGGCAGTATAACCTCTATTTGATGATGTGTTTCTACAAATGTTTAACTTGCTATTTCATTTAAAAATCATCTTTAATGTTGATTTATATTCCTGGCAGTGAAGTCAGGAGGTTGGCAATCCCATTCCATTTCAGTCTGTGCTCTGACTGAGGCAATAACGCAGATCAAAGAGAAGGAGTCTTGCAGCACTCACATTTTATCATCCTGAATGTTTTCAAGTTCTCACTCTGATATTCATGGGCAGATTATGTAACTACTAGATTTATACTTCTGAAGGCCAAATAGTAAAGACTGAAATGTTGTATCATTAAGAGGAAGTATTTGGAAATAATTGAATTGAAATAAGGAACAACACATGAAGCAAACACTTGACAAAAGCAGCAATGCTTTCCTGGAGATGTCATCTTGCTCCAGTCTTTTATAGGGTCAGCCATTTGTTTTCATGCCATAGAATATAAAATTAACCGCATGTTATTATACATTCTAAGTCTTATTTTACATCTAAATATGTCAAGCTGACATTTTTATTGCCTTAGTAATTGCTAAATATTCAAGGACTTGAATTCCATCATTAACAGTTTACCTAAATGATGGAAGAGGAGTAAGCCACAGAACTTCTGTGAATGTTTTAGAAGATAAAAACTTATAGTTCATTATCTAACAAGTCAGAGAACATGAAAACTTGCCTTGGTGCCTGCCTTGAGCCTCCCTGCCCATGGCTTTTGCAGAGTATCTTATAAATACTGGTAGGTTTAGTTGTCTAATGCCCTGGGGACTTTGACACCATAGCAGCATCCCCTTTTTTTACAGAAAAGGGAACACAGGCAGATAAAGGTTAGCAGATCATAGAAGCATAGAATCATCAAGGTTGGAAGAGACCTTTAAGGTCATCAAGTCCAATCGTCAACCAAGCACAACCAGTGTAGCCCCTAAACCACTAACCATATCAACCAGCACCAGATCCAGACGCCTCTTAAACACCTCCAGGGACAGTGACTCTACCACTCCCCTGGGCAACCTCATGGCTAGGCTTCGGAAATGAAGATACTCCCATGCCTAAGATGCACCAAAGGATGAGAGAACGGATTGAAAGCAGCCCTGAGAAGGACTTCAGGGTGTTGGTTGATGAGAAACTCAATGTGACCTGGCCATGTGCAGGTTGGTTGGGGCTCTGAGCAACCTGGTCCAGTGCAAGGTGTCCCTGCCCATGGCAGGAGGATTGGAAGGACATGATCTTTAATGTCCCTTTCAACCCAAACTACTCTATGATTCCATGCAGTGGAGCAGGACCTGGACGTGCTGCTGGCCAGAGGGCCCAGGCTATGGGGCTGTCAAGGCCAGGCACAGCCCCCTCTGCATGGGCTCGGCTACTGTGAGCCACCACCAGACACCTGGACAGGCTGCGGGCACATGGCTGGCTCGATCTGTGTGGGGAGATCACAGAATTGTTAGGGTTGGAAAGGACTTTTGGAGATCATCCAGTTCGACCCCCCTGCCAAGGCAGGGTCACCTAGAGCAGGTAACACAGGAACACATCCAGGTGGGTTTTGAATGTCTTCAGGGAGGGAGACTCCACAACCTCCCTGGGCAGCCTTTTCTACCTCATCACCCTTTCCCACTTTCAATGTAAGGTTCTTCCTCATGTTGAGGTGGAAGTTCTTGTGTTTTCATTTATGTCCATTACTCCTCGACCTGTCACTGGGCACCACTGAAAACAGCCTGGCATCATCCTCTTGGCACCCATCTTTGAGATATTTATATGCATTAATGAGATCCCTTCTCAGTCTTCTCTGAATTAAACAGGCCTAGCTCCCGCAATCTCTTTGTAAGAGAGATGCTCCATACCCCTAATGATCTTTGTAGCCCTCCGCTGGACCCTGTCCAGGAGTTCCATGTCTCTGTTGCACTGAGGAGCCCAGAACCAGACACAGCGCTCCAAATGCGGCCTCACTGGGGCTGAGCATAAGGGTATGATCACCTCCCTCAACCTGTTGGCCACACTGTTCTCGATGCACCCTTGGATACTACTGGGCCTCCTGACCGCCGGAACTCGGCTTTACAAGGCTCGGCTGCTCAGCACGGGCACCCTCACGGACACGGACAGCGCTACCGAACCCGCCCCTTCGGGCGGGAACGCTCCGCCCCCGCCCCGCCCCGCCCCGGCCCCGCGCTCCGGACGCGGTTCGGGCGAGCGGAAGGGGCGGGCGCGGCCAGGGCGGCGCGGGGGGCACCGGCGCGATGTTTCTGACGGC